ACGGTCACACATGACACTTAGTACTAGATTTCTACACCCGACGGTCACACATGACACTTAGTACTAGATTTCTACACTCGACGGTCACACATGACACTTAGTACTAGATTTCAACACCCAACGGTCGCACATGACACTTAGTACTAGATGTCTACACCCGACGGTCACACATTACACTTAGTACTAGATGTCCACCCCCGACGGTCACACATGATACTTAGTACTAGATTTCTACGCCCAACGGTCGCACATGACACTAGTACTAGTTATCAACCCCCGACGGTCGAACATGACAATTAGTACTAGATGTCTACACCTGACGGTCACACATGACATTTAGTACTAGATTTCTACGCCCAACGGTCGCACATGACACTAGTACTAGTTATCAACCCCCGACGGTCGAACATGACAATTAGTACTAGATGTCTACCCCCGACGGTCGAACATGACACTTAGTACTATATGTCTACACCCGACGGTCGAGCATGACACTTAGTACTAGATGTCCACCCCCGACGGTCACACATGACACTTAGTACTAGATTTCTACACCCAACGGTCGCACATGACACTAGTACTAGATGTCTACACCCGACGGTCGAACATGACACTTAGTACTAGATGTCTACACCCGACGGTCACACATGACACTTAGCACTAGATGTCTACACCCGACGGTCACACATGACACTGAGTACTAGATTTCTACACCCGACGGCCACACATGACACTTAGTACTAGATTTCTACACCCGACAGTCACACATGACACTTAGTACTAGATTCCTAAACCCGACGGTTACACATGACACTTAGTACTAGATGTCTCCCCCCGACGGTCACACATGACACTTAGTACTATATTTCTACACCTGACGGTCACACATGACACTAAGTACTAGAATTCTACACCCGACGGTCACACATGACACTTAATACTAGATGTCTCCACCTGACGGTCACACATGACACTTAATACTAGATGCCTACACCCGACGGTCACACATGACACTTAGTACTTGATTTCTACACCCAACGGTCACACATGACACTTAATACTAGATGTCTCCACCTGACGGTCACACATGACACTTAATACTAGATGTCTACGCCTGACGGTCACACATGACACTTAATACTAGATTTCTACACCCGACGGTCACACATGACACTTAGTACTTGATTTCTACACCCAACGGTCACACATGACACTTAATACTAGATGTCTACGCCTGACGGTCACACATGACACTTAATACTAGATTTCTACACCCGACGGTCACACATGACACTTAGTACAAGATTTCTACACCCAACGGTCACACATGACACTTAGTACTAGAATTCTACACCCGACGGTCACACATGACACTTAGTACAAGATTTCTACACCCAACGGTCACACATGACACTTAATACTAGATGTCTCCACCTGACGGTCACACATGACACTTAATACTAGATTTCTACACTCGACGGTCACACATGACACTTAGTACTAGAATTCCACCCCCGACGGTCACACATGACACTTAGTACTATATTTCTACCCCTGACGGTCACACATGACACTTAGTACTAGAATTCCACCCCCGACGGTCACACATGACACTTAGTACTAGTTTTCTACCCCCGACGGTCACACATGACACTTAGTACTAGTTTTCTACCCCCGACGGTCACACATGACACTTAGTTCTAGATTTCTACACCCAACGGTCACACATGACACTTAGTACTAGAATTCTGCACCCGACGGTCACACATGACACTTAGTACTAGTTTTCTACCCCCGACGGTCACACATGACACTTAGTTCTAGATTTCTACACCCAACGGTCACACATGACACTTAGTACTAGAATTCTCCACCCGACGGTCACACATGACACTTAGTACTAGACTTCTACACCCAACGGTCACACATGACACTTAGTACTAGATCTCTACACCCAACGGTCACACATGACACTTAATACTAGATGTCTAGACCTGACGGTCACACATGACACTTAATACTAGATGCCTACACCCGACGGTCACACATGACACTTAGTACAAGATTTCTACACCCAACGGTCACACATGACACTTAATACTAGATGTCTAGACCTGACGGTCACACATGACACTTAATACTAGATTTCTACACTCGACGGTCACACATGATACTTAGTACTAGATTTCTACCCCCGACGGTCACACATGACACTTAGTACTAGATGTCTACACCTGACGGTCACCCATGACACTTAATACTAGATGTCTACACCTGACGGTCCCACATGACACTTAATACTAGATGTCTACACCCGACGGTCACACATGACACTGAGTACTAGATTTCTACACCCGACGGCCACACATGACACTTAGTACTAGATTTCTACACCCAACGGTCACACATGACACTTAGTACTAGATCTCTACACCCAACGGTCACACATGACACTTAATACTAGATGTCTACCCCTGACGGTCACACATGACACTTAATACTAGATGTCTCCACCTGACGGTCACACATGACACTTAATACTAGATTTCTACACCCGACGGTCACACATGACACTTAGTACTAGTTTTCTACCCCCGACGGTCACACATGACACTTAGTACTATATTTCTACACCTGACGGTCACACATGACACTTAGTACTAGAATTCTACACCCGACGGTCACACATGACACTTAGTACTAGATTTCTATACCCGACGGTCACACACGACACTTAGTACTAGATTTCTACACCCGACGGTCACACATGACACTTAGTACTAGTTTTCTACCCCCGACGGTCTCACATGACACTTAGTACTAGATTTCTACACCTGACTGTCACACATGACACTTAGTACTAGATTTCTATACCCGACGGTCACACACGACACTTAGTACTAGATTTCTACACCCGACGGTCACACATGACACTTAGTACTATATTTCTACACCTGACGGTCACACATGACACTTAGTACTAGAATTCTACACCCGACAGTCACACATGACACTTAGTACTAGATTTCTACACCCGACAGTCACACATGACACTAAGTTCTAGATTTCTACACCCGACGGTCACACAGGACCGAATAGTAGATTTTTACACCTGATGGCCAAGCATGAGACTTAATACTAGATCACTTTATTAGGTAAACTCATACTAGACTCAAAATTGCTATACCTGGCTGCCACATGTGAGACTGAATACTAGATTGCATTACATGGAGGCCACACATGAGACTGAAATACTAGACTGTTATACCTGATGTCCACACATGAGACTCTGACTGGCCAACATGACTGACTTCATACCGGAGGCACACACTTTGTTTATGGCCGTGGTTGGAGTGGTGATTGGCAGACCTGTCGATCAAAACATCAACAATGTAACATACCCTTTATACAAGCAGGATGTAATGGTATCCAACTTTTCAAATGACAGAAGATATTTTATAGCGGACTCTGTGAGTGACTTCAACCGAATATTGTAGTTCAGGAACTTAGAAGACATGTCAGTAGAAGAATGAGAGAAAGCCAATGTTGACCGTTTGTATTGTCAAAGTCATATGTTCCATCATTGCTGCTAAAACAATCTTTAACATGGCAAAACATAAAGTGTTATATATATATCAAAATCAAACTTACCAGCTCCCAGGGTAGCCTGTCGACATGGTGCCTGTCCCTCATCAGCCTGACAAACATTTCCCATATACACCTCATTCACAGCATCACCGTCAATCCCTGAATATTATCATTGATGCAACATTAATATATCACATTGATCAAATTTGAATACAAGCACTTTCAAGTATCTCAGTAATCAGTAAGGAGTGTTTTGTTTTCCCTTTTAATAGTGACATACTCATTTTACCGACCATAATTTGTCATATGGAGCCAATCATCTTTAAGGAGTTGTTACCATGGTAATAGATTATATGTGAAATTAATTTGTGTTATCATGTTACATTACAATTGTTAAGCTTTAACATGAATATTTAGGTCACTAAACAATGGACCTTAAACGACATTACAGAAGTTAATACCATGGTCAGATGACTTTGAAGAGTACTACATGTAGAACATAATGAATGAATTAATTTCAATATGAATGACCTGCTCTGTTGATAGCTTCCTTGATGGCGACAGAGCCAAGCCTTGGGGCAGAGAGTTCTGAGAGACTGCTGAGGAACGATCCTATGGGTGTCCTCACAGCACTCACGATCACAACGTCCTATAACAACACATCGAATCATCAATATAATCTCACTATCACAACGTCCTATAACAACATCGCATCATCTATATAATCTCACTATCACAACGTCCTATAACAACATCGAATCATCAATATAATCTCACTATCACAACGTCCTATAACAACATCGAATCATCAATATAATCTCACTATCACAACGTCCTATAACAACATCGAATCATCAATATAATCTCACTATCACAACGTCCTATAACAACATCGAATCATCAATATAATCTCACTATCACAACGTCCTATAACAACATCGAATCATCAATATAATCTCACTATCACAACGTCCTATAACAACATCGAATCATCAATATAATCTCACTATCACAACGTCCTATAACAACATCGAATCATCAATATAATCTCACTATCACAACGTCCTATAACAACATCGAATCATCAATATAATCTCACTATCACAACGTCCTATAACAACATCGAATCATCAATATAATCTCACTATCACAACGTCCTATAACAACATCGAATCATCAATATAATCTCACTATCACAACGTCCTATAACAACATCGAATCATCAATATAATCTCACTATCACAACGTCCTATAACAACATCGAATCATCAATATAATCTCACTATCACAACGTCCTATAACAACATCGAATCATCAATATAATCTCACTATCACAACGTCCTATAACAACATCGAATCATCAATATAATCTCACTATCACAACGTCCTATAACAACATCGAATCATCAATATAATCTCACTATCACAACGTCCTATAACAACATCGAATCATCAATATAATCTCACTATCACAACGTCCTATAACAACATCGAATCATCAATATAATCTCACTATCACAACGTCCTATAACAACATCGAATCATCAATATAATCTCACTATCACAACGTCCTATAACAACATCGAATCATCAATATAATCTCACTATCACAACGTCCTATAACAACATCGAATCATCAATATAATCTCACTATCACAACGTCCTATAACAACATCGAATCATCAATATAATCTCACTATCACAACGTCCTATAACAACATCGAATCATCAATATAATCTCACTATCACAACGTCCTATAACAACATCGAATCATCAATATAATCTCACTATCACAACGTCCTATAACAACATCGAATCATCAATATAATCTCACTATCACAACGTCCTATAACAACATCGAATCATCAATATAATCTCACTATCACAACGTCCTATAACAACATCGAATCATCAATATAATCTCACTATCACAACGTCCTACAGAAACAAATCAATGCATCAAAATCATTTCGCTAACAATTATTATTCTGGTATGTAGTTTGCATATTTCTAGTGAAGGCCAATCTTAATTAAGTTTGTTCTTGTACTGAACTTGTGTTGTGGTGTCTGTTGTAGAAATACTGCACTGCTCTTGTAAGTCTGTTTTGGTTGATTTAGTTGGTGTTGTGAGGTTTCTGTATAGAATGACAGCTGTATATTAAAGTTTGGGTCAAACTATGGCTTGTGTGTTAAATATCCTACTAATTTGCATGATATTGTTGATATGCACACTGATGTATATCCTCCTAAGATTGTGTTTTAGTGTAAGTCCTGAGTACTTTGTTTATGTAACAGGAGAGGAAAAAAGCACGGCCAGACCGGGGTTCAAACCTGGGACCTTTTGAACTCTAGATGGATGCTCTACCAATTGAGCTATCTGGTCGCCGACAATCAACCCAGTCCAGTTCCGCTACATTCCTCCAAACAAAGTCTTCAACCCCGAAGACACATGAGACCCTATACCACCTTCTGTGGGTATATTTTGTTGGGCGCCAAATGTAACAGGAGGGGAAAAATGCACGGCCAGACCGGGGTTTGAACCCGGGACCCTCCAAACTCTAGACTAATTGAGCTCAATTGAGCTTATCTGGTCGCCGACGATCGGACCAGTCCAGTTCCGCTACACTTATAACTGCTGCTGGGGTTTGTAGGTGAACTTAATGTTACTGTGTTTGTTATTTTGTTTGATGCAGAGCTGATGTTTAATTTTCCCGGTTAAATGTCATTAGCTAATTTTTTCCACTTTCCTGCTGTGTCTTATGTCGTCAGTTGCTCAATGATAGTGTCTCCTATTATATTTTATTGTCTACAAAAAACTGAGGCTTTGTTGTATTTATTTGGGAATGTAAAGTTAATTAAGAAGAGAATGAGGTTCCAATTACTGTTTACATACATGAGTGGGATAAATCATAATTGATGTCAATTAATTATTAAATCAATCTTTAATTATTCATACAATTAAATTTTCTTATACTTACATTTAATCCGCTGATTTTGCTGAAAGACCGGACACATTGTCCATTTGACTTCTGAAAAAATAAGATTAAAACACAACCAGCTAACTGTAAAGAAAACAGAAAGTAGATAGGATAAGACGGGCATGCTGATTGGTTAGCATGGACACACCCACAGTATATCATGCATAATTCTTATCATCTCAACTTCAATATTTAGGTTGGCAATCAAATATATCAATATATAATGGATGTGGGTTTTTTTAAATATTCAATTCCTGCATGGAAACATACAGGCTAACGGAGCGTTTAACTGTACTGTATAGATTCAAGATTGCACATGTGACATATTTCTTGAGCTTTAGCCTAAAACCAATTCAAACACTTTACTGAATAACTTGTATAAATATTTGAAATACAATGAGTAATGCGGTGGACAACTCACCTGTACAAGTCTGCCTAAAGCTCGGAAGCTCATGTTTTTTGTTTACAACACGCAGGGGGTAGGACACAACCAAGAAATTACAAGGTCGGGACGTAACACATGGTACGTATGAACATGTCAGAAATGTTCCGAAAGCTTCAAAGCGAAAGTAACTAGCCCCAGAAGTCTCGTTCAACCAGACTCTTCTTGTCTGCGCAAGCTACGCCCAAAGTGATTAAGGCGTCTGGTTGAACGAGACCTGGGCCGTTTTCGTTTATCGCGGTCCAAACGGTTAAACCGGTTCGACCAGGTGTGTTCGTTTAAACGTACGGGTTGTTCTTCATAAACGAACAGGCTCTTCAAATTTTGATAGCTCACCAACGAGTTAACATAAAACGTATTTTGAAATTTATAACTAAAACCTGCATGTAAATTTGTTTTTAGAGAGATCCAGGATGGATAAACAGAAAAAAACTGTGCAATATTTCTCCAACAGCTAATCAAAACGACTCGTACGGGCTGTCGTTAGATTGGAACCTTAAGCTGAGCTCTGCAATAAATCGGCACGTGTAGATTGATGGGTCCTTAATATCGTTTTTTTTAAGCAGTTCACATTTAAAAAGGTCACACAAACAAAGACTTTAAGATAAAAAAAAATGTATCTGGTTCACGAAATGTCAAAATGGTTAAGTTAATATATTAATGGATTTAGCCGCCCATTTTTCGTTTCTCTCAAATTGTATGCGTGACGACAAAACAAGTGTTTGTGTGTTCTTAAAGCTCGCCTCCTAAGACAGAATAGTCTGTGCCATGTAGACCGGTTTAACCGGGAAATCGCCACACGCATTTGCCGGAAGGACCCGACGATGTACTCGTTTCATTCATACCCACAAACATCGTCCGTCTTAGAAGTCACGATACCAATACTACTTCCGATATATGTTAGTATATTAACACACATAACTGTATAATCATAGAAGAAAGTTATAGGTGATTGAGTAAAGAACTAAAAATATATTTTAACAAGTCGATCGAAATTGCAAATATTTCTAAGGTGTGTTTTTTTACCTGGACACCGGTTACCTATCACAACTATTTGTGTTTGTATGACACACATTCCGTCTTATCGTCATCGTTATATTTATCATCATTTCGTTTCTACCTGCAATAAGCAGAACAAACTCTCATTCAACGTCGCATTTGTGTATACGTCTATGTAACATTACAGATAAAGTCCCTGTTCCCACTGTTTTTAATTACATCCTTGTACCTTGTGTTGAATCGAGAAGGTAAACATGGAGAAAAAAGAAGACAAGAAGGAAACCAAAACATCGCAGACAGACAGCGGTGCCGACACAAACATTGTAACTGGAGAAGAAGCAGAACACAAGGATGCCGCTACGGTGAAGACAGATGAACATTCAGATCAAGAAGCCAATGGGGCCGTCACAGGAAGCGAGCACAGGAAAGAGGAAGGGGAAATAAAAGTGGTGTACAAATTTCGAGATTTTAACAAATTCATGGTGAAGGCGTGGGAGGAAGTATTCAAGGAACACTGTGGTGAAGATGGCAGGGTAGAGGTAATAATAATCTTAAACTCTCAAAATAATCAAATATTAATCAATGTTTGTAGTAATTATATATAGATCTACTTCATTTTTAATCGAGTGAAGACTTTCATGGAAATAAAAACTTTGTATTTAATTTAACAGCTTATTGATACATCATACATAGTAGCAATTTATAGACATATTATACATTGTAGCAATTTATAGATATATTGTACATTGTAGCAATTTATAGATATATTATACATTGTAGCAATTTATAGACATATTATACAATGTAGCAATTTATAGATATATTATACATTGTAGCAATTAATAGGTATATCATACATCTAGCAATTGAAATATATATATACATATGTATGTATGCATTGTACCAATTTAGAAATAGTTTGTATGTATGCAATTTTAGACATTGCAGCAATATTAATACTAGTTTATATATATATAATTATATATGATTTTCATTAAATGGCACAGTTGTAAATTACTAAATGTGTGCTTATTTTCAAATGTGTAGGGCTTCAAGTAAAACTTCAGTATTACAAAGTTGTCTTTAGAGGTTTATATCAGCTTATTTAAACCATTTGCTTATCTTCAATGTCCCACTTTAGTCATGTACCCCATGGCTTTACTTTGGATCAGAACATTTTATTGCAAATTGTATTGAGGCCAAAAAAAGCACACACAAAAACTGGCCACCCTAGAACATTTTGATACCTACTTGTAAACTATTTGCCTACAAACCAACCATTTTTTCCTGACAAGTCACTTGAATACATAATACTTGTTTTGACTTAACAAACAGAATTAGAAAATTAGAAATAACATTTAAATACGAAGAACATTTAATTAAGATAGCAAAGGAATCAAGTGTATTCTCATTATATATCTCTTTTGAAGGTTTCTGTTGGTGATATTTTCAAAGGAGCCCCAGCTGCTGATGCCTTGGTAATATATAACACACTTGTTACTGTACAGGATGACTATAAAGGACACATTTGTATAGAGGTCAACACAGTATATCAAATACCTGTCTGTAAAGGTCAACACTGTCAAATACCCATCTATAAAGGTCAATACTATATATCAAATACCTGTCTGTAAAGGTCAATACTTATATATCAAATGCCTGTCTATAAAGGTCAATACTATATATAAAATGCCTATCTATAAAGGTCAATACTATATATAAAATGCTTGTCTATAAAGGTCAACACTATATATCAAATGCATGTTTATAAAGGTCAATACTATATATAAAATGCCTGTCTATAAAGGTCAATACTACATGTATATATAAAATGCCTGTTTATAAAGGTCAACACTGTCAAATACCCATCTATAAAGGTTAATACTATATATCAAATGCCTGTCTATAAAGGTCAATACTATATATCAAATGCCTGTCTATAAAGGTCAATACTATATATCAAATACCCGTCTAGAAAGGTCAATACTATATATCAAATACCCGTCTATAAAGGTCAATACTATATATAAAATGCCTGTCTATAAAGGTCAATACTATATATAAAATGCCTGTTTATAAAGGTCAAAACTGTTTATCAAATACCCTTCTATAAAGGTCAATACTATATATCAAATGCCTGTCTATAAAGGTCAACACTGTCTATCAAATGCCTGTTTATAAAGGTCAACACTGTCTATCAAATACCCTTCTATAAAGGTCAATACTACAACCAAATGCCTGTCTATAAAGGTCAGCACTATAGGAAATATTCATTTCAATGAATGCAATTATTTTAGTTCTAATTTCTTTATACTAACTAGTAATTGTATAATTTTATTAACTGCTGCATATAAATGCTAGATGTCAGACTATAAAAGGAAAAATGTTCAGTTCCATATAAGTGTCCGTTTATACAAAGTTTACTATATCATAAATCATATACTTTGATACAATTTGAGGTTTTCAGTAATTATTTAAAGTTATACATGCATTGAAACCTGTTGTTGGATGTCACTTACCTTTGTTTCCCTGGTTGCAGGTGTCCCCAGCCAACAGCTATGGTTTCATGGATGGAGGAATTGACATGGTATACACTAGACATTTTGGCTGGCAGATGTAAGTTGTCTCTCTTGTTTAGTCCCTGAATATATTAGTTTTCTCCCTAGTGGCAAGGTATATTAGTTGTCTCCTTTTTGGTCCCATGTTGTTGACAGATGTATGATTTTTTTTCTTTTTAGTCCCCAACTTCTGACATATCTGAATAATCTCCAATCTCAGTCCTCTACTCAGTACTGGTGTAACCAGGATATGAGTGAAACAGCTGTACTTTTTCCAGCAATGCGGTATAACCCGGGTACCCCCTTCAATTACTACTTAGCAATGTCAAGCATGGTCAGTAGCTGGATGAGTGACCACCCTGACCTTACATTTGGTGGTTGCGGTGGGATTCTGTGTGATCATGCAAGGCCAGTTCCCGGTGGTTAGGGAAGGTGCATTAGTACACAGGTAGGACCCACAGGCATTTCCAGGCCAAGTCTTGGGACAAGACTTCTCGGAGGGGGCAACAGTGTAACAGCTAAGGAATTTCAGGGGAAATTATTGCCTTACTGGCAAGCTAGCTTTTCATGCAATGCAGTATAATCCGCAGACCTCCTCACCAGTTCAGCAACGCCGAGCGTGGTCAGTAGCTTAATGGGTGACCGCCCACACGTTACATAAGCAACATCAAGAATGAACATATTTTTCATGTAGCAGGACTAAAAAGAATATCAAGTTTGTTCCAACTAATGACCATAACTTACTTCCAAGGTCACAGGGGTCAAATTCATTAGGAATTTCATAAGGAATCATGATACAGCCAACTTGACTTATGACAGCTAAAGTTTTGCAACAGGAGTGGAAAAATGCATAGTCAGATCAGGATCTAAATTAAGACGTACACTCTAACCATTTCAGCTACCTGGTCGCCGGCAATTGATCCAGTCCTGTTTAGCTACATTCCTCCCACCTTTTTTCTAAGTTTTCGCTCTCAAAGACTAAGATCTACAATCCAGGTTTTGGTATCCGCTTTATCTTAAAAAGTACTTGTCAGTCCTCTCTCAAATTTCATACATAAGTTTCCCATTGTTCGTAGTTGTGCATGTTTTATTTTGAGACTTATTGGAAGACAAAATTGACTACAGGCAGCCATCTTTGATTTTGACATGTCTGAATCAAATTCCATATTTTGAAAGATCACTGTCAAACACAGCCGTATGAAGTTTTAATCAAACATTATTACATGATTCATTTACTGATGACAAAACTATTAATTTTACAGATGAAAGATCTTATATAGAACTAACGGAAATCTTACAATGGCGGGCACCAAGGTTCCTCTGGGATGTCTCAATTGTTATTGTAGTATTTATTATAACCAGCTTCTTGATATTTTGCTCTTCATCATCAATTCACGTGTTAAATTTGTTTTTATTTTGTTTCAGGCAGCACAGACTACAGGAAGTGATAAGGAAAGAACATGATGGTGAACTTCTGGTGGTATGTAATACATGCCTCATTAATCCACTTTCTTGTATAACCTGAAACGGTTTTTGAGATATACAAGTGCATTAAGAAGAAAACATATTTTCATTTTTGAATAGATTTTGCTCACTACTTTGTTCAGGGTAATGCTGCAATAATCCCTGCCTATCAAGAGGGTCAGGTTGATGAGGAGGCAAAAGATGAAATGTACAATGAAGGTCAGCCAATCAAGTATCTGATCTCCGCCCCAACCATGAGGGTACCTATGGAGGTGGACGGGACACCTAATTCCTACCTGGCTTTCCGTGCAGTCCTACTGGCTGGTAAGTGAGACAAACTAAAACAGGATTCTGTCTAGATTAGCCATGTAGTATGTTAGTAGGTAGCTCCTCCTTGAAATCGAAGGGTTTCCCTTTCAATAGGCATATCTTCTGTTCACCCTTGGAACATTTCATGACAAAATCAAAGGTTCAAAGAAAAACTTTGACTACGCTAGGCTGATACCTGTTCTTTGAAGATTACAGATGAGCTACGCCCATCTTCATAGCCTGATGATTTTACTGTTATGCTGCTGCATGATTACATTGATTTTGATCAAAGACATTGGGCTAATCCACTGCAAGGAATTGCATAAAAAGCCTTTGATTTTGTAATGACAGGTTCAAGGGGTACAGAGAAGATACAGGTATTGAGAGTTAAACTCCTCGATTTCAAGGTTGTATGTAGCTAGGTCCTGTTGATTTGAGTAGATCTGTCACACATCATGTTCATATCTTTCATTAAATTGCTATAATACAGACCAATAGTCGTTATGGTTTTCAAGATAACCTGCAAATCATAAACATATCTTGTTTTCTGTTTTGTTAGTTATAAATCAGAATTATAATAAACTCTGATCATTGATCAAGACCAAGTTTTCTAGAACAATAAGTTTTTAGATATATTAGGTTCAATGATCCTGAATAGATGGTCTGGAGATTCTCACATATGTTCCATAAACATTGTCATTATTTTGCAGTCCAGAAACACAACAGAAGGACAGATGTGGAGCCCATTAGGAGCATTTTGTGTCCTGGTCTAGGTACTGCTGTGGGACAGATGCCGAAAGGTCGATGTGCAAGACAGGTGATTATATATTAAACAGACCCAAACTTACTGTGTATTGCAAATTAATTCATGTCCTTTACAATGACAAGTTCTCCTGTTATGACTCAGAAATTTCATCCAGGTTCATAAACATTTGTCCAAAATCACTTGCTGGAAAAGGATATTAGAATGATTTTACTTTGAACACATGCTGTGACCTTGATCTTGAAAACTAAGACACGATTGTTAAAATGCAATCTGATTAAAAACCTGGTACTTTCAGAAAGTTCCAAGATGACCACCTCACAGCCTTTTGTTCTTTTGGTCAGTCCAAAAATATGAACAATACACACATGAGATACCTACTTGTGAAATTTGAATAAAAAGGATTTCTCAAGAACTTTTTAAGTAATAGGGAATTAATTTTAACAGTCAGTCTTAAAATGAAACATGCACAAGTAAAGACCAAGGGAGGGGAACCTGCATAGAAAAACTACATTTCTTAAGATACCTAGTAAAGTTATAACAAGAATAGTCTACGGGTCCACAGACATAGGACAACAACAGATTGAACAGTTCCCAGAACTAATGGTGGTGGGCTAAAAATATAGGCAGGCAGTCAGAAATCTTATGCAAATTTATACACATGTAAAAATATCATAAAAGTTGAAAATTTTCCATGAACATGTAGTGAACCTATTTTATTATATATTTAATACCAGTTCTATTTTCTCGCACAAGATCTTTCTGATGGTACATGTATACGCATGTAATTTACCAAGTATGCCTGGTAATAGTAACTGTAATTTCTAAATTTCAGCTTGATGTATTTTCTAAATATGTGTTATTTATTACAGATGCTAGTTGCCTATGAAACTTTTGTTCTGGGAAAATGTCCAGAGAGACTTAAACCACAAAATCTGTTCCATATGGTGAATGATCATGATGAACTGTGCTTCAGCCAAGAATGAATATGTGGAAACAGTGTGACCATTCACATCCCAGGGACATCAAACTAAATATGTGGAAACAGTGCGACCATTCACATCCCAGTAGTATGGCAACATGTATCAATGTATATTGGTAACCCCAGTTGAACACCTATTACATTCTGGTTCTAGATACAGGCTCACATGTTACAATTGGCTAAGTAAAAAGCTTGTGTACAAGATATCTACCAATTTAGTTTGTATTCACTCCATGGTGTGGTTACATCAAGTTCTACTCTTTATCAGCTATTGGTTGTCACTGGTCAAGGTTGAGGATGAAAAGCGTCACTTTACCACCCTAAGCAGGGTAGGTATATCTATGCTCGTCTCTTCACCTTTATTTAAATTTAAAATGGCATACCGATATTTGAAATCCTGTTCAACGTTACAATTCAGGCCACCATTAAAAACTTTTGTTTGGTATAACCTGACCAAGTATTGAAGGCTTGAGTAGGTACGCTCATAAGCACTTTAAATATTCTATATTTATAAATGTCAGTAAAACACTTTTTGAAAGAGACAATAAATTGTACCTTGATTAAACATTAAAATAAATTTGTATAGAAAGTATCAATATTTGCAGTCGGGCCATTTTTGTATCGTGTTGTACCTAACACACATCACCAACAATGTATTGTTAAATGACTTCCTTTTTGTATTTAATTTGAAATGCGTGTATTACATATCAGACATGTTAGAATATATGTGAGCTATTCAGGCCTATAAGCCTTTTGTTAAATATACAGAAAGCGTTGACAAAGCTACCAGTGTTTTTTTTGGTGTACCTTTATTTTTGTTATTGTGATACCATTGTGTATTGAATGTGGACATTCCGTGCTGCTGTTGACACATCGTCATGTATTTGTTGTATAGCTACAGAAGCTGTAATTGTCCCATTTATATTTTTTAAACTTGATGACTATTGGCTGTAGATTTATCAGGGAACTGTGGTTTCCACAGTTAACATGTGGAAAGGAACAAGTTTTACATGTATTCAATTGTGATATTTTTTATGATGACAATGTTCACTTTTTATTTAATCAATTGCCTATTTTTAACATGTTTGTTTTTATATTTTTTTAAACCCAACTTTACATGCAATACTGAATTCTACATCAATTATTGCAAAACTATGCATATAATTTTTTTTATTTGAAAGCATGTGGAATAATTTCAGACTGCTATACATCCCCTTGCATGAAAACGGTGAGAATATACATTTCTTGTCACTAGTTATATTGCATTCAAGCAACTTCTTTCTCTGCTAATACATTTCAATGCATCTCGGTATTTCCAGATCTATATATGTAAACATGAAAATTGGCTTGAATGAGAAAGATTTTATATGAAATAGTAGACAGTGACTTTGGCCAGACCACAATGTAACACAAACTACTTTTGAGATATTCTCATACTCGATTGTTTTTGTTAGTTTTATCAAAATCCATTCAGAAATGACTTTTGACCTTCTGAAACAAACTTGTTGGGAGATATTCTCATACTTGACCAATACCAGGTATATGAAGATTGATCACAATTTGATAAAAGGTGAAGTCACAAGGGTAATGACGAGATGAATAATAAACATTCAATAGTGAAATGTTATAAATTTGTGTAGCAATACCAAACCTGTATAGTAGAACCCTACTAGTCCAGGAATCTTAGATATTTGTGGTTGAACCCCACTATTGGAGAAACCTATGATCTAGACCATATGTAGAGCTGAACCTTGTTCATGCACTTATAGATTGGTGTTATGGAATCTCCATCGTCTTGACACCTTAGATTTGTTTACAGTGGAGCCTCCTTAGTCCAGACACTGTGTAGTGTGGAATCTCCATCGTCTGGACACCTTAGATTTGTTTACAGTGGAGCCTCCCTAGTCCAGACACTGTGTAGTGTGGAATCTCCATCGTCTGGACACCTTAGATTTGTTTACAGTGGAGCCTCCCTAGTCCAGACACTGTGTAGTGTGGAATCTCCATCGTCTTGACACCTTAGATTTGTTAACAGTGGAGCCCTCTAGTCCAGACACTGAGTAGTGTGGAATCTCCCATATAGTCCAGACATGTTGGATCTATATCTATCCATGGAACTTCCTTAGTCCAGACTCTAAATCTGTTTACAGTGGAACCTTCCTCATCAAAGACTCCAAAAGTCCGTCTTCAATGGAACCTCGCTAATCCCAACATTTTTGTACAGTATATCTAGGGCCTTCCTAGTCCAAAAATCTTAGACCTGTCAAATGTGTACAATGGAACCTTCCTTTTGCAGATACATCAGCTGTGGTAGCAGTCTACAGTAGAATAGCCCGACTCTGAAAAACAAGGCACATGTCGAGGAAATGTAAACACAGCGGATTTACCCTACATAACACATATATATATATTTGTAAACTGCATTACATTTACAATACATATAAAGTACTGAGAAGTGTATAAACCTCTTTTCTATGTATGCCACTTGTGTGAAAACCATGGTTACCCCATAAAAAATTACCAAAAAATGCTATTTTTGACCTAGTAATTTTTTTCCGAAGTTCTGTCTGAAATTAAAGATTACCTACTTGGTTGCAGAATAATCTGGGTCCCAGTAAAGTTGTAAAACTTTTTTTTTTCAATTTTGCGCTGTTGTCAAAATTTTACCTTCTTTAAAGCTAGCTTTTCATGTGTAGGCACCCTTTCGGATTATGGCCAAAATTTTGATCTCGAACCAAAAACTTCTTTTTTTAAACAAATGTGAAGCTCACATAGCCCACTTCATCATGCTTATACCACTTTTAGGACAGTTTTATTTTTATTTATTTTTAATATATCATTATACAGGGGTTAGCCATTTAACAAAAATATCACCCATGGCCACAACCCTCTACTGTAGACTGCTACCTGTACAGCGGCATTTCCCCAATTCCCCAATACCTTAGTTCTGTGTAGTGGAACTGCTATGGTCCAGGTACTTAATAGCTTGTGTACAGTGGATCTCCCTATTCTCGCACCTCAGACAGATATCCCACGTCATACCCCATGCTAGATTTTTCTATCTCGTCCAATCTGTCTTGTACCTTTATGTGACATTTAGCGAATTTTTACACTGATGTATTCATCCGCGTTTTAACTCCTTGAAATTGATGATCTGCATAATAAATATTCTGTTTTGTCGCTATGTGTAGTTTTGATGTGGTAGATAACATATAATCTACACTGTGAAATACGTTGTCTTCTTTGTAAGGATGGACTACATTTTTACGCGGAAGCATTCAAATGTAGCATAAGTAGTGAAGAGGTCATTATCATTTGAGGCCCCAGACGGGATACTTGTAGTTTTTAACAAAATTGAAAACTTGTTTTTGAATTAAAAGGTGCGAGAAAAAAAATCAATTACCTGTAACTGAGCAAGATCGGGTTATCTCAGTCTCGTACCAAGATTCTGGAACATCCCAACCTCGACTTACACCTCGGTTGGGATTTTGTCACAGAATCTTAACCCTCGACTGAGATAACCCAATCTCACTCAGTTAAAGGCAATAGATTTTATTAGTCCAGACACCTTAGATCTATGCAGAAAACCTCTCTTGTAACATGTCCAGACAACATGGATTTTTGTGGCATTGAAATGTTTTTGTATTTCATTTTTCTCCAATCGGTACAGACTATGCAGCAAGCTTGAGCCTCACTATTTGAGAAGTTCTGGAATGTATAGTTCAGATTAACATTGCTGCAATGGAACTGAAATTCATTAAATACCAGGTAATCAGCTCTTAAAATTTTAATTACAACACAATATTCATCACTAACTTTGTCCTTTGTCAGTAGATTGGAGATCATCACTCCACAGGGATGTGTTTGTTAGCAAATTCTATTTTATAAACACCCTCAGCAGTGTAAGAAGTTTAATTTTTGTATTTTTCCTTTGACAGGCACCTTAAATTACAGATGAAGTACAATGTATACATTCATTTTTTTTTATTTGATGTAAAATATTACACGACATCCGACAATTTGAATGAAATGTTAATGTACAAAATTAGCCAGTATTCACATGGTCAGCTGGTTTATATGAAAATCAGATGAAGTCTCAAAAAATACTTTCAGATATGTCAACCTGTGATATACAACCCACCCACCCTTCAACACATACAATTCTCAGTGGTTAAATGACTATGAATAAACTACTTATCATCAAAGCATTACTAGCTTTCTATAAAACGCACCAAAAATGTGTTTTATATTTTTCTACAAAAGTTGTCTGCTAACGTATTGTTCCTTTATATGAATGTTAAGAGATATTGCCCATCTTGAATGTCACACCACGCATATTTAATCTAACATGCATCATTTCAAGGCTTATTCTAAAAGCTTGGTAAACAGTCTAGATGAAAAGATGCCCTCCTATCAGCACCAAGCTTGCTAGTAATCCTTAAAATACTACATGTATTGTATTTGTGTACTTCTCCATATGTACCAGTAGGGGGTACAATTCTACAGATCTGATGATTTTTGAATGCACTCAGTAGTTGAACTTTAATATAATTACACATGTATTGATTGAATTCTTAACTTTGAAAACTTTCATTTCTGTGTACATAATCAATATATTTTCTTGGGAGTACTGATGTACAGAAAAGTCTGTTAATATGACCTACAAGCAAAAAATAAATTACAATTTGTACACTCAAAACATAAACAGCACTCCAGGATAACCGGCCTCTTAATTGATTTCTTCATATCTCAGAAAGATATCACCTAGACTACAAAACTTAATGGCAGCACAATGCCGAAGTTATATTTCTGAAGTCATTTGCGTAATTTTCTTTTCCGTTGTCATACCAGATGCAGAAAATCAATATATTGTTCATGATTAGTTTCCACACAAGAGTATTTTGGTCCATTTTTGTAAGAACAGTACAAATTCACAACAGTTTGATTTTTGTTAGATTCTAGGAAGCTGTCTGTTCTAAATCCCCGGCTGGTGTGTCTGGTTCCTCGTCATTGTAAATGTTTTCGGCCTAAAATAACAACAGGACACAAATGTCACATAAGACAATCACAAAACCAAGTACGATAAAACTAACTTCATCCTTCCAGCAATTTCGGAATTATTCATACAGGGGTGATAATAGGCAATAGTCAGAAATGTAGGAGAGTTGTTCAGACTTAAAACTCATATCCAAAGCAAAACGTTTTTGTTTATCATTAGCTATGTATAACATAAGTATTACGAGCCAATTTATTCCGACTTCAGTGAGCAAAGGGCTATTCTCATATCTGAGGGGAATTGTATCAGATTTCAGTTTGTATCTATCCCAAGAGATACTCATTATAAAATACAGCAATTGTGGGTGACAGTGTATACGAGATATGCTCTGAACCAAGTGGCCCACAGTGAACAAAGACCTATAACTGTAGTGGGTCACAAGACATTCTGCCATCAACGGAGGTACATACAAACTTAAAACTTGGCAATGGTTGATTACAGAGTACAAAGTGATGGTTACACATTATTATCTTCACTGCTGTGTCAACGATTTTTTAAAAGTTCCAAACTACTTACCATTTGCCATACTTGCATGATGTTGTCTTCAGATACAGAGCAAATTACCCAGGGTTCATTGGGGTTCCACGAAAAGTCCGATATTTTTGCTGTGTGTCCACCATGAATAAACTGAAAGTAAAACATGAAATACACATGGATTTTCCCCCTTAAAAACACTTCTGAAATTTCGTATTTATTGTGAATTTTTATGAATTTTTAAATTTTAATAGGGAAATGTGTAAACCACACATAATTTTAATGTCATTTCAGTCCTTAATTGGCAAAATAATCTTTCTTTCAAATATATGAGATAAATGATCATTGCTGACAAGGAAAAGCCCCTACCAGTAGTTCTGGGGGACCGTCTTCAGCATCCTCTGCTGATTGCTCCTCTCCAATTTTACTACAAGAGAAGGATACCATCAATAGCAGAAACATGTACTTTTAGGTTCATTTTAAAATCAAATCAGAGATAAAAGATTCATATAGTATCATTTGCTTTTGAGAATGATTTAGAACACTGTACTTTCATGATCAGATTGAGAATGATTTAGAACACTGTACTTTCAGATTGAGAATTTGAAAATGACTTGCACTATTTCAAATGGGGCAGCTATATATATAGCTAGGAGGGGAATAGAACTATTCAGAGGCCTATAAATGAATGTAGTATCAGCCTTTTTATATATTATTTTGCTAAATGCAACATTTTTGTTATTACGCTAATGAAGACCAATAGGAAACTTCTGAAGAGAACATTGCTGCCCCTGTCATTTGAGGCTGCATATTGTACCTGAGATCCCAAACATGAAGTCTTCTATCAGTTCCACTGGACGCCAGGATGGTCTCATTATGGGGCGACCATTGGACCTTCAATTAAAACAAAAGTGTTATCAATTAATGGATTAAAATTTCATTTAATGGATTTTGAGATAGGCAATAAATAATTAAACTACAAAGATAAACATTATTAAATAATCAAAATACAAAGATAAACATTATTATGTGTCACACTGTTTTGGCGATCAATAGCACTGCCTTTAACTGCAAGTAAAATGTTTACAGGAACATTGAAAGCTAAAAAAGCTACTCTATATTGTGTTAACACCCCCCCCCTCTAATATTCTTAGACCAAATGTGATCACATATAAATCCAAATATGGTAATAAACTATATAGTGTTTCGGGAAGAGAAGGCTTTTGAAGATAAAACTGCTTTATTTTGCTTTCAGCCCTGTCCCTCACCCCTGCCATGAGGGTTACAGCCTTCATTATATATATTTTTTATTATGTAATTGACATTTGTTTCAATCTTACATCTTGCCTAATTATTTTGGAATACTCAAAAGATATATTGCTCTTACCTGGAAAATTTCATCTTTGTGCGATTCAAATGAATGTAATTTCAGTTTAAGATTTCGGAGATCCCACAGAGCAACAGTCTAAAAGAAAAAAATATGAAATATTTGCAAAATTTAATCCAACAGAAATGGACAATACACAAGCACAATTGTTTGAAAATACTTAGTGGAAACAATTTTCCCATTTCTTGGATAGGTGGGTTTTTGGAGACATGTGTATTACTGACCTTGTCTGCAGACCCTGTGGCTAATATGAATTCACTGTACGGGTTGAATGACAGACAATTGACCTCGGCAGTATGGGCATCTACCGTATGACTTGGTTTTGTAGTGTCATTTGATCGTGTGTCCCAGCTGTGAAAAGAAAATAGTTCTCGAGCCAATTCCTTTTTTGTTATACATCAGACATCTTTAATGGTAAATGATATTTATCAACACCAGTTAATTTTTAAGGAGGCTATTAACTAAAAGTAGACTCAAAATCTATACTTTATCAATAATTCGTCAGATTAAACACTGAAAACTGAAATGCATGAAGACATTATAAAACTTCAATAGACCTGAAACAGGTGATTTAAAAAAAAAAAAAAAGTCTTCTTCAATAGCTATGTCTTGAAATTAAATCAAAGTAGTAGCATTACGGTATCTTCATTTTTGAAATACTTACATCATCAATTTCTGGTCATCAGCAACTGACCCAAATAAACTTTCATGGAGTAAATGCCATGCCACATCCTGCAAAAGAAGGAACAACAAGTTCAGAAATTAGAAATCAAAATAATAATTAGCTCAAATCCTTGGAATATTAATCTAGTACTTAGGCCATTTTTTTTTTGATTACTTGGTTCTCAGGCCCGCGCGCATTTCATTTTAGGGCACCGCATTGCCAATTTTATCGTTAAAGTAATAAAAAAAAAAGGTCCGCATGTCGTTTTTACTCGTTAGTCACCCAAGTCCTGAAAACGTTTGAATAAAGATAAGAATTGATATACAGGCAAGCCTTAAAATGATTATGACTTATTAGTCTTGTGTACAAATGGCGCTCATTTCGGTACAAATAAGGAATGGGGGGTTCGTGATCCTCGTCTGGAACATTGTGGGGGGATTTTCGGAGGCTTGCTCTACGACGGGTCTCTACACAACTATAAAAAGACAAGGTAATGCCCACAATGAACGTTTTACAAACTACCTCCCTGCTGCATCTCTTTTGGAAAAAATTGGCCTGAGAACCAAGTAATTAATTTTATTTGGCCTTAATATGGAAAGTCAATAAATTGACTAGTAACTGTTGTCTAAAAGATAACCTCACCTCTACAACGGATGTATGGCCTGTAAAAATTGTGTGTGCATCTATGACTCGGCCCTCTTTTGGCGCTGTATTGATATCCCACAGACATATTGTCTACAAAAACATAAAAAGATAAAATCAATGCAACATTAATACTTAACTTAAAAGCAATACAAAACAGATTTTGAAAGCCAAACCGAATCAATACTATGAATAAGTGATAAAACTGTATGCTGTGACTTTAATATAGACAGTAATACACTGTATTTGAAAAATAACTTTGCTCTCCTCTGCAGGGCAATTGGACAAATTTTCACTTCCTCCATATACCTCATCAGTTGGTACAGAGGCAACAGACCTTGCATTTTTCTTGCCTGGAAAACTAATCAATATACCAGTCCTATTTTAAGAACTCCTCTCGGTAAAATAATCAATTGCAACATTTACTTTTTATCAATTGTAACCAATTCATTAATTTACAAACTACTGATATTTATACACCATTAGTTTTGACAAAATCAATCCAATTATCTTATTATTTTTACATACATGATCATCAGAAGCACTCAACAGATGTCCGTTCAAATTTGGGTTCCAGGATAATCCATATCTGAAATTAAGAATATCACCTTTACCATGAGGAAAACTTGATATCAATGACTTTTTCTGAAGTTAACATGTTGTTTCTCATTCTAAAATGGCGCTTTGAAATTTTATTCAAACAGTTCAAGAAAAGAGTAATATTTTTCGTGTAAAACTTACCCTTCCTTTTGATGACCTTTTAGACGCAATTCAGGAGTACATTCTCCACTTGGATCTAATAAATGAAATGATCAATAATTACAATACATTCTGATTCTTGCCATTTTGTCTACAAAATCTAAATTGCTGCCAGTGAGACCAAACAAAAAATATTTGGTGTTTCCGGTAACCCTAACTACCCTATTTTCCGGTAACCCTAACTACCCTATTTTCCAGTAACCCTAACTACCCTATTTTATTTTTGTGTTCCTACTCTTAACTTTTTATTAAAGGCAATTTTCAAAGAAGCACTGTTAAAAGTCAAGACCACTCTCTTATATGAACTATATAAAATTATTAGTTAAAAATAAAATGTATTACCTACCTATCGTAATTTTTTTCCAACATGACACAGGAAACATATTTTTTGTCTGACCTGATTTACTTGTCTCCAGCACAGTATAACTTGTTTCATATTATTAAGACCAGTCAAATATACACCAAAATAAAAAGTGTATATTCATATTTATTTAGAAGTACATGTACAGAATAGCACATTAATAAGAGACCATAGGTTTAAATCACACTGGCAGTATGACAATATGTTTTCTTTTACTGCTCTACACAACTGCATCTTCGCTAGCCAAGTGTTCGCTTCGTATACACTCCACTGATTTATTAGATGCGAGCGATTGCCACCTAGGAAAATTTGAAGGCTTGGTAAACACGGCTATATCCGCCAAGGGTAAGTGGAGTGTATACGAAGCGAACACTTGGCTAGCGAAGATGACCCAACTGTATAAATAGATATTAGCAGTGAGCATGATGGGAATCATATTCCTACAAATGGCTTTCCCGAACTCCTGGACATAGACTGTCCGTTGACCACTCTCACTGTAATGTGATTACCTGGTTTAGAGGGATGTTTTGTGTAGTCAAAAACCAGTACATCACTTGATGGCGTTTTGGTGGCGAGGACACATGGGTTCTGTGGCATGTACCTCGCTCGATTCACCTCTCCCTCATGGTTTATTTTAATTTCTATCTCAATCTTCCCACTTACAGATCCAAAACCTCCGAACTCTGAAAGGAAATTGAAGCAATATATCAAACATTAGTTTTACATTTCATAGACATATTACTCTCTATCATGTTAAAAACATTTCACTCTAACAGTAGGAGTAAAACAGATGAACAAACTTTTAGACATGTTTCACTCCTGGTCTAGTTTTCTCAGTTTTTGTTTGTATTTAGTAACATCAATTGAAATGCCTTTGATTATGGCACTAACAAACCCTGTTGTAGACATTTTTTATGATGAAGATAAGTTTTCTAGTGCAATATCTCTTGATCTTTTGAAAAAACACAGGTCAGTGGGCTCTAAATGTATACATAATGCCAATATTTAATACATAACTTGGGACGCTAACTGTTCATCTCGCTCTAACCCATAACTCACTAAAACACTGAACATGTACAATGACAACCATATATCTACCATACAATATCAAATAAAACTTTGTAGAATTATGAAAATGACAAATTGTATTTCTATTCTCCAGGACCTTACCTCCCTTTTCACTGTCATAATGTGATGCATCAAATTGGGCATTATCATTGGGTAGCTGAACACTTGCAATCAGGAGATGGTTTTGTTCATCAGAGCTGAAAGAAATCAAGGGCCAAGGGAGTTGTCTCAGAAAACATTTGGAGAAAACAGAAGCAAATCCAGACTTCTTTTGGAATGAGATGCATACGTGTCATTTTAAAAACTATTAGGAATTGATGCATAATTTGGACTTGAAATTCTTATCCCCACCTCCTTGCACTTGAATAATCATATTAATCTATAAATGGAACAGACTGTTTATTGTCACAGATTCTTGCTACAAGATATACATGTAAAGCTTGATGAGAAAACATGCAATTAGTCGCTCCAGTCCTCACCCAAAGCTAATGCGGCCATGATGATTACTGAGGAGCAGGGCTACAGAATCTTTGGTTTTTAAATTAATATCACATAATTTTAAGTACATTTAATTTAAAAGATCAATTTCTACACTTTTGTTTTCCAATTTTGAAAATGTGATCAACATCATATTTGGTTTTCCTTCATTAGCTAATTAATTATACTGGGTAACAATGTAATATTAGGATTTTTTTTCATGAAAACCTGCACTAATAATATCTTTATTTTCAATTGTGTTAATATATCAAATATCATTTCCCTTGCAATAGAATACCAAAATAGAATACTTTCTTTCCTTCATTTGGGGATTTGATCTCTGTTCATCTCATCATTGTATGCATCTCTCAAATCTTGCTCTTATTTTTCTCAAATGTATCCATTAACATACCTTGTCCTTTGAAAGGGAAGAAAAGAAAAAAAGAATGATTAAAATATGTAAAAGACAATCAAACATTTCATAAATGTATATAATGAAAATATCTTATTTTTTTATTTTTATTTTTTTTATCAAAGCCTTACCTATTCAATGCAATAAAACCCGACAATGTATTTTAATTGCACCCATATAGTTCCATGCCAATTAAACACCAATGCATGAAAATGAACCCAACCTAATAAATTAAACAGTATATGTAAGGCTGTTTTTACTACTTTAGCAATGGAATCTATGAATTTGGAATGTGTGCGACAAGTAACCTAGGGGAAAAAGTAATATGTGGTAACAAACAACTACAGTGATAGGAGCTTTAGCAAAGAGTATTCAATAAACAAACAGGACAGTACCATAGAGTTTAAAAAAGAACAGGTTTTGCATTGGGAATGGGGCTTATATTTGGTTACAAAAAGCCATGTTATCAGTGCTGGTGAAATGTTATCTATGAAGACAGTCTCATAAATGAACCCAGTGCAAAACCTTCACAAACCAGCCAAAAACAAGAATCATAGATGTCAGAATTATTTTCTATTCATAAAGTTGGAATAATACAAGCTGTTACCCCTACAAACTTTTCCTGGACTTGGGTACCTAAGCACCATGTATGAATGCCCAAATCCCAGAGACTTTAATATGCCTAATGGAATGGCCATCTTTTATGGTATCAAAATTATCAGGGGGCGGGGCGGATGCAGAATAATGGTATTCCATTACAATAAATAAGCATAGCAATGCTTTTATACATACAAGGTTCATACAGATATTTTCAAATCTAAAATGTTACTTTCATAACACATTATAGGTTCCATTACCATTTTGTCCTTTTTACTTTACTGTTAAAGCAGAAACCTCTCTTTTATTTGGGCCTTTTCTTAGTTTAACCTTAAAATTGAGGACTTTTTAGACTCAATCATCAGAGCCTATTCTGTCTGTATGAACCTTTGGAATTTCCTTCAAGCAACCAAGCCAGCGACATATATCTGTCATGTGATATGTATTCCAAGGTGTTAGTGAGCTATAATTGTTGAAGGAGTTAATGACTACAAATATCATTTTTAACGAAAAAATTGATACAAGAATCATCACGATTAGGATAGAATAATTTTGATTCAGGATATTTTTTGAAACAGTTAAGCAAACTTTTAAACAAGTCTGAAGACACTTACGTGTGTGTTCCTAAGATGAGTCTGTGAAGAGAATAGTCTTTTCCTTCTGGTCTGAAATAAATAAGTGAAGTATTAGAGCATGTAATTAATAACTTGATAAAAAAAAAATCTTTCCCTGTAAAATGTTACACATCTTAAAATATTTATTTTTATATAACTTTTTTTCTAGATTTTCTAAAAATTTCTGATTGGTCGAAAAATCATCAGACAAACCCTTTATCTTGTTATATTTACAATGAGTTTAAATTACTAGCAGACGCATACAACTTTCCCAGTGGTAGAATTATAATAGTATTTTTTTTCCAAGTCCAGGGTCCAATGAATTTAAATTTGAAATTGGGGAAAAATGAGGAGAAATAAAATTTCATACATTTTCCAGTTTCTGTTAATAAATTTAACTTCTTATCATGAGAAATTGCTTTCTTTGATATTGGAATTTATTATTTATTTTTCAATGCATAAGCTTAGGTCTAGCGTACAGTTAAACTCTAGTACATCTAGTATAGGCTTGAAACAAATTCTGATAGCCAGAATTTATTTTTTCTATTTTATTATACTATATCAAATATATACGGTAGTTCTAATATTTGTCCATTTCCGTTAAAAGGAAAACTTTGATTTTAATTTTAAAGTCATTTATTTACCTAAAACTATTTAAATGTAAAAAAGAAAATACAGTAATAAATGAAATTGAACAGACAAATAGATTGATCATTTCCGGATTCTGTGCCCGGATGTTGGTTCCCTTATTAGAAAAGAAAAGAAAATTATTTACAAAGATTTCTTCTTTGATGGTTAGTATCACTTTCTCGAGTAATACATGTTGTTAATTTGTTTTACTCCAACTTTAATCACACAGGCAAGACAAAAATAGCTAAGTTTTACAACATCAAATCAATGCAACAGGAATAACTTTATTACATTCTGATGTATACTTTTGAAATTTTATTTTTCAAGGGATTCAAATATATTTTTACTTTTCTTACTGACATGAATGTTTTTACTGTTCCCTCTCCACACTGAGTGTATTTAAATTTTGCAAAAATGGCCATCTGTTTGGGAATTTTTCAATGGCAAATTGGGAATTTTAGCAAGATTTTCCGTGGGGGGGATAACGGCCCCAAATGTTATTGTAAGAAAATCTGTATTATCACTTGTATTTTGAATATCCTAGAATACAATTATACCGTGTGACATCAGGTAACCACTGTGCTGTTAAACTTGGCCATTCCAGTGCGTGGGTCATGACCAGGTCATACAGAAAAGGAGTATTTTTCTTCCATATTTTGTATTCTTCATTGATGACCCTCTCCTCAACTGCATCATCAAAACCCTCTGCAAAGAATAAAATTACAACGGTCTTATAGCAACATTAAACATGTTTGGAAAAAACACTAACAAGACAAAAATCTCACAGAAAAACAACTGTAACAAAATCAAATGAAAAATCAAACTCCATGACATGCTAAAAAAATTTTTTTGTTACATTCATTGATGCACAATAATTCTGAAATCACATTTTGCTATTGCAACACTGATTTTCTTTTAAAATTAAGAAAATAAATCAGTGATTTAACAGGATGCAATGGCTCCCTTATTCAGATTGCCTGGCTATCATGAAGACTAGACTGGGGTTTACAACAGGATAATAGAACTGTGTATACTAAGGCTGACTTCATTTGGGAATTCAAGGTGTTATATTTAGGACAGCAATAATAATTTCTGACCAACTGTATTTCAATATTTCATTAAGTATACCAAAAATTGTATGGTATATGTAGTAAATCATACATCAAATTGAAGATAAGGATTAACTTGTAAATTTAAGTTTATAAGCTCCATATGGGGGTATGTCACCTCCTGAAATACATTGTACTTTAAAGCTTTTCACCCTCAAAAGGTCTGCGGCTTGAGCCATATAAAGGGTTAAAAATTTGTGATTCATGCCTGATTTTACCCCCAACTATTATGCCTTGCAAAAACACTGCAGTTATGTCAGTCGGTTTTCCTGGGACAAGGATAGTTCAGCTTGTTTAAACAAGTTCATAATCTTGATAGCATTTATGTTTATTTGACAGTCGAAGCTAGTGCTTGTGGTCTGCATTCAATGACTACCAGCTCCCCCCAGCTAATCAACACCCCAGGTTACCAGTCTACCACTTTTACCAATTGAGCTAAAGGAAAATTCCTTCCAGAAGCTAGAAGTTAAAGTAACCATAATTCCCAGTCCATGCGAAATATGCCAGTCCGACAGACATGTCCAGCAAAAATTACTGACAGTCCAACAATCACGATTATAATTCCTGACCATGTCACTTAAGCGTTTGAATGCCTTGTAACATTCAGTGCAGTCCATTTGTTTTAACAAATTTTATTATATATATATATTAACAAAGATTCAACTCGAGAAAGGCCTAGAGACGCTATCCGTCTTTTGTTCTATTTTTTTTTTACATATATTAACATATATAAATGGATAAGATAACAGGCTAGGCCCATATAAATCTGCTCCAAGATGGTGTAATTATGACATTATATATATACATGTAATTAACAAGCTATTTATAAATCAATCTCTGCAGTAACTTGTAATGAGATTGATGGAGTGAAGAACTTTTCATTTAATTATGTACACATCAAACAATTTTTGTATGTTTCTTTTCAATTTCCTTTGGACTAGTAAGTATTTCAAGCTAACCTGACCGAAATGTACTGTAAAAGTTGTTCCAGTCCGGCAAGCTTGGGATAGTTACCCGATTGATTGAATGTCTGGTAAGAAAATTTGTATTTCGCATGGACTGAAATCCATTTTCCCCCTAAATATCACGACAATCAAGGTTCTAAATCCATATCACCACAGAGAGGGAAATGGTCACCATTTGGAAATCAAGAGTGATGTGCTTCCATCGGATGATCTCTAGCTTCTAAGTCTAGTAGCCGTCTGATCTTATTCTTCCATACTACATGAAATGCTGTTTTTTAATCCACACTGTGTTAGTGTATATCATGTCAAATTTTACCCTTTGCTATATTAGCATGTATGTATAATACACATGTATAGATTACAGATAGTGTTTTAACACATCGTTCATAAATATGTCAAACCTCTGAATTTCATATAAAAAACATAACATAAATAAGTGTCAAGCCTTATGATAATATTATAAAAAAATAAAAAATGTGCAATTGATTCTAACTTACATACATGTGACATAACCGTGTATTTTTCTGTAATGAAAAAATTGTCTGCTATGCTATTTATATTTACTTGTTACTACTAATACTATTACATAATGTTATTGTTATTTTACATACTTTTGTTTGTCGCAATAATAGCTCTCAAGTGCTAATGTTCCATGTTGATATGTATGCGACTCTAAATAAAGCTTCTTGTAAGGGAAATTCCTTCTAGGTCAAATGTAGACAGGACAGAAAGTTATTAATTTTGTGTACAATTAAAACAAGCCGAAGATAACTGCTGCAAGAGCTGTTAAAACTTAAGTGTAGGCAGTATTAAAAACAACTTATGATAGGGAGTGAATTGACAGTGGATCTGGTGCGTGGGGTCAAACGTAACAAATGAATATTGGTTTGTTTGAGACCCCCCCCCCCGCCCCCAACCTCACACCATAATAACGGATAAATCGGTTGTACAAAATGCAATTAACAGAGTCAAGCATTCGATGTTATAATAGTTAACAACCAATCACATTTGCAATTGGTTAAATCATTAGCTATTTAATAAGTAGACTGTCTAACTAATAATCATGTTTATTTTTATACAACATGTCGCCAAATACCGGCCGGTGGTAAACTCTACCCCGGATGCTAACAAATAGTGTCATCAACATAATACTCGATACAATAAGTTATATGCGAGATATATATGAATACTATGAATATTTGTTCATTATAACTGCACTTATTTCCTTACCACCGGGATCCTTGTCTGTCATCTTTCAAAATTTCCTTTCTTTCAGAAGACCGACAAAGACACATGCGCAAGTGCTCGACGTCTCGCGCCAAATTTTTTCGAAGTGCGGACTGGAATATTGTAAAATAAATATTTGACATTATATTTTCATTTATTTGTATGTCTTTATATTCTTGTAGTTACATGTTGATAATTAAAATATAAAACTTAATATTTTACTTACCAACATTATATTTTAATGTGATGCACAATACATTATTTTCCTCTTTTAAAGTTGACAAAATAAATGTTTTTCAACCTCTAATGTTATTGCTTAGAATATCAAATAAAAATTTGCAAAAGTCCATGAAATAAATCATATTATATTTCAACCATTAATGTCAATGATATTTTTTTATATAATTTATGTGTGGTACATCACTTCTATAGGAAATCGAAAATTAAAATGGCTGCCAAGGGAAGAGTATCTCGGACATAGGAAGACATAGCCGTCGAAAAGGACTTTTGGACAATTGTCATGCGTTTTAATGGCGCTGGATTTTACTGCTGAAGATATAATATTTTGAGAGAATTATAAAGTTTTTATGAAAATGGAAGGATTGACGCTTAGTCAGCAAGAACAAATTTGCTATGGTGAATTGTTCCAGACCTGTGATGTTGATGGTACAGGGAGAATCACTGGTGTTCGTGCTTCCGATTTGTTTCTATCTTCAGGTCTAAGCCAGGATCATCTCATGCAGGTAACTGAATATTTAACTATGTTTGATACATCAGTTTTGCCGTTTTTTATGATCATGCAAGCCATATATGTTGTGTATTGTGTTGAAACACTGCAGACACATGGAAGGGGGTGTGGTACTTTTATGGTCCAAGGAGATGCCGGTTCCGAACGTCTAACGGACTTATTCGTGTTATGTTTGATAAACTACGACCAGATATGTACGCTAGACTATACTGCATGAACATTTGACAACTTGAACTGTTGCCATTCCTATTTGTCCCCGAGAACCACGTTGTGACCTAGTGATGAGAGTACAATACACAAAGTTTGTTTTCTGTGCAATACACACGTGTATTGCGTCGAATTTTTGTTACATGTTTACTCGCGTTAGAGTCATCGTGCATTTCTTATCAAGCTACTTTTTAGTTATATCTCTATAAGAAAAAGGTAAATGTATTGAAATTATTCTACACACAGATTTATTTTGACAATACTCATAAAATATGTACTGGATGCACAATCCTGTGAGATTCAGAAATAATATGGAATAGGTGAGACCTAGTAAGCAGGCACATATGAAAATACAGTTCTGCATAATTTAACTGTTTCATTTTATGTACAGTCGGTAGAATAGTTAGAATCCAATCACTGCATAATTCAATGGAGGTACCATTCTATATATATACCAGGTATATATATATATGGGGGGGGGGGGGGGGGGGGGGTGTAGCTAATGATTCCTCATCCTTCTCCAAACCCCTGCCAGCCCTGTAGGATTTTCTTTTAAAATATTGGGTAGGCCCATTTTCATTAAAGTAGGTATGGACAGCATTTGTTAAAAATTTATGTGTATTTACACAATGCAGAAGAGAAATTCCCTGCCCTTCATAAAACTATAACAAAATGGCAAATATGTCCGTATTTGAAAAATTATTTAACTCTTTACTGTCGGAAGAGTGTATGGACTAATGGTAAGTTTGGAGAGGATGTCTGGTAAGTTCGGCCCACATTGAAATTAGCATAATTATGACGTCATAAAGCATGCAACGTCATATTTTCCCACCAATACCATGGCTTCCCGTGAATGGCATGGGCCGAACCTGCCCCAAATTGATATTTTAAGAAATCTGTAAATCATAGCAAATTCGAAACTCAATGCTAGGGTTTACAGAATTGCAGAATTTACAGAAAGTTTGCAAAGCTAGAAAGAAGTGAGGTCATGATTTTCTTTCTACCCTCCCAAAAAAAAAGTTTTCTCGCTTTTAGTAATCTAAAATTATAGTTTTACCGCCATTTGTTTTCGTATGAATGTCCTGTCCAGTGAACTGCACTGCTAAGATCCTCAAAGTTGTAAATATTTTGTTCAAGACCAAAAATATCAGGGCCGTATCAATAAAACCGTTCTCTGTGCTCAAATTAAATTTCTTGAAACTCACTTATATTATGTAAGCAATCAAAAGTCAAATGTTAACCCTTAGGCTGCTACGCGCGACATATGTCGTTTTGAAAAGTCGGGACGTCAGTGCTACGCACGACATATGTCGTTTCTCGGTCTGTAGGTTTGTCGGGTTGTTGCTATACCAAACCCGAACGTGTATAGTAGAAGGCTTCTGATTGGTTGTTTTGTCATTACTTTCGATATATTCACAGCAGTGTACCCTAGTAATAACCAAAGGTGTGCGAAAGAATTTCAAATTGAAAAAGAAGTCATAAAAATGGCGGACGTGTAGATTGAAGCGATGAATATGATGGTAAACATTTATTCTCAATCGTCACCTACGATTATAATAAAGGTTTTGAAGGGTTTGGCATGGTTGATGTGGAAATACTCCGGTGTAACATAATATGTAACTTTCCAATAAACGGATTTGTGCCCTACGCAAACAGGAAAATATCGGCGGACCAAGGCGCACATGTCGTCTGCAGGTGAAGCCGAATTGAACATTGACATTGATACGTTTTGAGCCGATTTATTTCTTTAAACTTTTTATCAGTGATTTAATCACAAACTAGACCGTAGCTAAGATATATCTATATGCCGACTGTGACAGTAAATGTATTGAATTGCGACCTGAAACCTGTAGCAAATCACATGCAATTCTTGACGAAATACCTGACTTTTTACCTGAGAATCTCGTGTAAATATACAGCGTCTTATGTAAAAAATGAAGTTTATAATCTCTGTTATCTTTTGCCAATCACATTTGCGGACGAAAATAATTTTCAAATGATCTTCCTCTAGCTTAAATCTGATTAATTAAAAGTTTCACATTTTCTTACCTTTATTACCACCTGTACAGGTAAATACTGAAGCAACTTTAGAATTGAAAACGTTCATATAAACTGGAGATAACAACGAACAATTTTCATACAACTTATTTTCACATATAACACATATTCAAAAAGAACATTTCTTTGTATTTGAATGTATTGTCAACACTATATGATGACGCATGTTAACAGTGACGTCACAGTCGCGTCATTACATGTGAGCGTCAATTCGGCATATTCAATTCAAAATATGTATGCCTGGTGTATATATATTTGGACTTATTAGTATGCCGTGTGTATATATATATGCACTTATTAGTATGCCTGCTGTATATATATATGGACCTATTAGTATCCCTAGTGTATATATATATATGGAGTTATATGTGTGTGTGTTGTATATATATATATGGACATATTAGTATGCCTGGTGTATATATCTATGGACTTATTAGTATGACTGGTGTATATATATATATATTGACTTATTAGTATGCCTGCTGTATATATATATGGACATATTAGTATGCCTGGTGTATATATAAATATATGGGCTTATTAGCATGCCTGCTGTATATATATATGGACCTATTAGTATCCCTAGTGTATATATATATATGGACTGATTAGTATGCCTAGTGTATATATATATATGGAGTTATATGTGTGTGTGTTGTATATATATATATGGAGTTATATGTGTGTGTGTTGTATATATATATATGGAGTTATATGTGTGTGTGTTGTATATATATATATGGACATATTAGTATGCCTGGTGTATATATACATATGGACTTATTAGTAAGCCTTGTGTATATATATGGACTTATGAGTATGCGTGGTGTATATATATATGGCCTTATTAGTGTATGCCTGGTATATATATATGGACTTCTTAGTATGCCTGGTATAGATATATATGGACTTATTGGTATGCCTTGTGTATATAGATATGGACTTATTAGTACGCCTGGTGTATATATATATCCCCCTATGAGTATGCCTGGTGTATATAGATATGGACTTATTAGTAAGCCTTGTGTATATATATGGACTTATTGGTATGCCTTGTGTATATAGATATGGACTTATTAGTAAGCCTTGTGTATATATATGGACTTATGAGTATGCCTGGTTTATATATATATATGGACTTATGAGTATGCGTGGTGTATATATATATGATTAATTAAAAGTTTCACATTTTCTTACCTTTATTACCACCTGTACAGGTAAATACTGAAGCAACTTTAGAATTGAAAACGTTCATATAAACCGTAGATAACAACGAACAATTTTCATACATCTTATTTTCACATATAACACATATTCAAAAAGAACATTTCTTTGTATTTGAATGTATTGTCAACACTATATGATGACGCATGTTAATAGTGACGTCACAGTCGCGTCATTACCTGTGAGCGTCAATTCGGCATATTAAATTCAAAATATGTATGCCTGGTCTATATATATATGGACTTTTTAGAGTATGCCTCGGGTATATATATATGGAGTTATATGTGTGTGTGTTGTATATATATATATGGACTGATTAGTATGCCTAGTGTATATATATATATGGAGTTATATGTGTGTGTGTTGTATATATATATATGGAGTTTTTTGTATGCGTCGGGTATATATATATGGACTTATTAGTAAGCCTTGTGTATATATATATTGACTTATTAGTATGGCTGGTGTATATATATATATATGGACTGATTAGTATGCCTAGTGTATATATATATATGGAGTTATATGTGTGTGTGTTGTATATATATATATGGAGTTATATGTGTGTGTGTTGTATATATATATATGGACTTTTGAGTATGCCTGGTATATATATATGGACTTATTTTTATGCCTGGTATATATATATGGACTCATTAGTGTATGCCTGGTATATATATATATTGACTTATTAGTATGGCTGGTGTATATATATATCCCCCTATGAGTATGCCTGGTGTATATAGATATGGACTTATTAGTACGCCTGGTGTATATATATCTGGACGTATTAGTATGCCTGGTGTTTATATATATGGACTTATTAGTATGCCTGGTGTATATATATATGGACTTATTAGTATCAAATG